TATTAAACATTTTAAATTGTCAATATCAAAAGTAGAGTGTCTCAATCCAGCCACCTGAAAAGCCTGTCCTGGCAGCATCTTGTCAAACCCTAGCCTGAGTCTCTACTCCACAATGAGTTTATTTTGCTTATTCTTTGTGCTATTATCTGTGGAAAATAATAATAATGTGTATATCACAGTATTGACAATATCTTTGATCAAAGGGAGAGGTATTTTTGCAATTCAGCTCCCATTTTTTCTACTCTGAACCATCTGGGCACTCCCAAAGAGCATCTTAATTCTGAAAAATGATTTATCATCAATTTTAGTCTGAGTTGTTTTTCTGCTAAGTCCTATTAAATGTGTGGATTCTCATTAGCCCTGTGATAATCCCTTGGGAGTTTATCTGAACCAGCCTGCGTGTTGAATGAAGGGGGTGGGGGTGGGTCAAAGCTGACCCAAAAACGTTTGGGGTGAGTGAGAACAGCAAAGGAGGTTCCTTGCCTCCTCATCCCCAGCCCAAACAGGTGAGATTCCAGCCTGATTCCCAAGCACCTTCTTATGAACAGAAAGGAAACATCCTGCTTCTCTTGCTGCATCTCTGGCTGGGATGAAGTGGCTCGTGGAGCTGGTGGGCAGGACAATTCCCCTTTGTCCAGAGCAGCGAGAAGGACAAAGAAGCTCCTGTTGAAGATCAGGCACAGGGAGGCACCACCCCAACATGCCAGCGTGGGCAGGGGGGACCCTACAGACAGACTTCATATCCTTCTGAGTAATGTCCAAAGGGGAAAAAAGCAAAGTCAAAGGAAAGACAAAGCTTAAAAGTGCATGTTTTGGCAGAGGTGAGAATATAGGAGGTACCAAGGGCTCACCCGTCTCTCTTCCAATAGAAACAGCCCTGTAACCACTCAATCCAGAGCAGGAATATACACAAACAGGTTTGGAATTTACCAAAATTAATAGTGCTCTAAAAGGAGTCGAGTGTTATCTCCCTTAACATTAGCAGGCAACACCTGAACTCTAAAGCAGGGAGGCTGCCCTCCAAAGACTGGGAAGTCAACAATCACAGCTCTAAATGGGACATGGTCTGGTGACAGAAAAAGCCTTGAAAATCAGAATAAACGATGAAACCCCCTCATCTGGGGATGAGATCCCTGAGATCTGGCAGTGGATTTCCCATGGCGGGGTAAGAGGTCAGCAGCCTGACAGCTGATGGCCCTGCTCCCCTCCCCTCTGTCTCTGTCCCCACGGCCCAGACATCTGCTGTCCCCGCCGAGCAGCTGCCCCCCTGTGCAGCCCTGGCTGCAGGACAGCAGCAGCAGATCCTTCCTTCCAGCTAAATCCAACAGAAATGTGCTGTCTGTCCTGTTCCGGACTTGAGGGGAGAAGGGGTCTGCCAGGAAAAGCTCAAAAGTGCTCTGGAGCAGCAGCAATTTGTAATTATCCCTATGAAGAAAAGGAAAAGCCTTAGGCTATGGGGATAAGATAGGATGGCATCTGTTTCATCACTGTCTCTTGCCCAAAGATCATTTTACCCTGTAAGATTTAAAATTCAATATATTAGGCCCTCAGGAATTCTTATTTCCTAAACGCTTCCATCTCCTCTCCTAAACACTTTGTTTACTCACTTTGCAGCTGTTTTTGGAGCATCCAGCAGCTCCTGCTGAACCACATGCCCAGTTGTGCCAGCAGTGACTCCTGAGCTCTCATTTGTGATGTGGGTACATCCAACATCCCCTGGGGAAAAGTGTGGGTGCCCCAGGCTGGGTCAAAAGGAGCTCTTGGACCTTCAGGCTCAGCTGAGAACAGTTTATTGCTCATTAGTGCTCTCAGGGCTGGGATGTTCTCAAGGTCAGGGGTCAGATAAATAATTTGGACTACTGGAAGAAAATTGCATGTGTTGGGATGGAAATAAAATCTGCTGGGGGGAGTGGGTTGCCCTCAGTGCCCATCCCTGACCCTCCAGCACTGCTGGGTTTGAGGAAGCCACAGGGATTCAGCTGCCGACACGGGATTTTGTTGAAGCCATTTCCTTACCTGGCAAGATAACACAGACTCAGGAAATGAGCAATTCCAGTCTCTCGTCCATGCATTTCTATATTCTCTTCACGTTTCCTAAATAAACTGGTCCCAGGCAGAAGGCGCCGTGTCTGGTCCTGACACAGCCCAGCGTTTGTAGCTGAAGCTGCTGCTGACATCTATGGTCAGCCTGGGGTACTGGTGTTCAAAAGTGTCGGAGTCCCGGGCTGGATGGGGTTGGAAAAATCTTTCAATTCCTCTCAATCCTCCCCCTGCCACGGGCAGGAACCTTTCCACTATCCCAAGGTGCTCTAAGCCCCATCAAACCTGGCCTTGGGTGCTTGTACAGGGCAGCCCCAGCTTCTCTGGGCAACCTGTGCCAGGGCCTCCCTGCCCTCCCAGGGAGGAATTTCTCCCCAATATCCCATCCAACCCTGTCCTCTGGCAGTGGGAAGCCATTCCCCCCGATCCTGTCACTCCAGCTCCTTGTCCCAAGTCCCTCTCCAGCTCTCTTGGAGCCCCTTCAGGCACTGGAAGGGGCTGTCAGTGAGTTGTGACATTCATATGGTTTTAACCAAAATATCATTATTAATAGAATAATCCCTTAAAATCACAAGAAATTACCTCAGAAGTGAAAACTACTCTGAAGATATAAAAGTAATACTGACTGGATTTCCAGCTGAGTTTTCCCCTTAGGAGGTTCTCTGGACCACACCTCTTGCCCTAAGACTGTAGAAAGCCCCTTTCACAGAGAAAACCCGTTAGGTGCTGTAACATTACACCCAGTACAGTGATACAGACAATTTATCTGTAAATTAATTTTCAACACTGTGCATGACCCCTCTTTACCACATTAAATTTCACTATTAATTATATTGTTGGACTGAAGTACTTCTTGAGATTGATGGGAATCCTTCAGCACAGGTGTCAGCATGGGTGAAGCTCTCTCAGCATTCTAAGACCCACACAGTACCATTTTAAGGAGATTTTTATTGGAACAATAATAGCTGAGGAAAAAAAAATAAACCAAAAAAGAAAAAACACAACCAGGCAAGCTTTTGGACCTAGAAATCTCTTACAAGTCCGGTCTTACCTGTAATTTTATTTTGGGTTGTCTGGATCTCCTGAGCTTTAGCACTATCTCTCTTTCTGAATTTTCCCCCTCATTTTCAGAAGAGCTGGGTGCTGTTCCTGTTTCCCTATAGACTCAAAGATTAGCATCAGGGGCACAGCTGGAGCTAAACCAGCTCCAGCTCCAGGGAGGGTGGGCTGAAGGTCACCCTCCCGTATTCCCGTTGGAGCAGGAAAGAAGCCAAGTAAACATCTTCTCCTGCATTTTGTTCTTATTAAAAACCCAGCTTTAAGACTGCAGGTCCTGTTGTAAATATTTGGATTTTATCTGTGCAGATGGAACATATTTATTTGTTTATTAGAGGCAAAAGCAGTTTAGTTGCTCCTTAGTACCAAGTTTTGCTCTTTCCTGAGGTTCCCAGCAGGGTGGGTGCATACCACAGAGGCACGTATTTGGTCCCAAGCTCCTCACATCCCTCCACAGCCTCGTGTGTTCCAGCCCCATCAGATTTTATCTGCTTAATGATGTGTAAGAGCAATCCAGCACAGGAAGGACATGGAGCTGTTGGAGTGAGTCCAGAGGAGGCACCAAAACGGTGAGAGAACAGAGCAGCTCTGCTGGGAGGAAAGGCTGGGAGAATTGGGATTGTTCAGGCTGGAGAAGAGAGGCTTCAGGGTGACCTAACTGTGGCCTTGCAGTGCCTGAAAGAGGCAGCAAGAAACATGGAGAGAGACTATTTTTACAAGGGTCTGGCGTGCAAGGGGGAATGGTTTCCCACTGCCAGAGGGGAGGGTTAGATGGGATATTGGGAAAGAATTTTTTTTTGTCTGTGAGGGTGTGGAGGCTCCTGGCACAGATTTCCCAGAGAAAATGCTCCATCCCTGGAAGTGTCCGAGGCCAGGACAGGGCTTGGAGCAACCTGGGCTAGTGGAAGGTGTCCCTGCCCATGACACGGGCTGAGCTTTGAGGTCCCTTCCAACCCAAACCATTCTTGGATCTGTGATTCAGGTCTCTATGAGAATTGTTCCTTACTGAGCAGCTCCTCATCCTTCCCCCTTCCCACCCGGCAGCTGCACAGCCCTGATGGAGCAGCTGATCATGGATCACAGCTGAGGGCATGCAGGAGATGAGCAGATCTGATCAGAGCCCCGAGGTGTTTCCTGTCTCCCAGGCATTCTTAGAGGAGAAATGGAACTCAGGATACGCTGGTTTGGCAGGTCAAAGGGACAGGAAAGAGCTGCCACTAGTGCCAATGTGGGACCTGTCACTGTGATGATGTTTTGTGGGGTATTAGGGCAAAGAAGTCTGTGGCTTGTTCAAATTTTCCCCCTTAATTTACATAATCTTTTAAAAATTTCTGTTAAGGAATGATCAATTGCTACTTCTCATTCAAACTTGAATTGCTTTTCTGTAACAACTCTCCTTTTTATCAATAGACTTTTTAGGAAGAGGTTTTTACAGCATTCACTGCTTTCCCCACCAGGCTGACCTACAAGAGCTGCCACTAAACTCTCCTGATGTGCTAAATTTAAATTTCAAGCTCCTCCTAAATTCTCCTTTTCATCTGCTCAGCAATATTACGTTATTTCAGGGAGCTTCTGAGTGAGCACAAGCAGAACCCCTGCCATTAAGACCTGTCACAAGGCCCCACTTGCTTTTTTCCTATGAATTACCCCACAAGTTATGTGGCAAAGTTGTAACAACCACCATAACAAGTTTTATTTAGTTTTAGCCATTTATTGCTCCCCCAGCTTTCGGAGTTCTGATTCTTTAGAACAACTAGCTTGTTTTAGGTAAACTTCACCTCTAATCAGAGCAAGTTTCAGCTGCTCACCCACCTCTCTGGTGTCTTTCCAAATCCAGTTTCCCATCTTTGGGCAAAGAAATCTTCATTAACAGCTTTTACTACAATTAAGACACAACACAGGTGTGTGCTCAGAACGCTTCAGTTTATTTAAAAAAGGAGGATCTGCTTTTCAGTAACGGAACAACCAGGATCATGCAAGTCTTGCACAAACACAAGGCAGGCAGAAGATGAAAGACAAAAGCTGCCCAACATGCAGGAGGAACTCAAGCAAACAAAGGTAAAAATTTGTGGTTTACAGTGGTTTAAAATAAACATTAAGCTTCAAAAGTAAACGTTACATTCCAAACAGTAAAAATTACTTAATTATTCCAGTGTTTGTGCCATCTCTCAGACGTTTAGTCTTGTACAAAAGTTGAAAGGAAGCCATAAAAAACTGTAAAGAACTATGCAAATGTATAAAACCCAGCTCAACAGGAGCATTTTAACATGAAAATTGAGGTCAGATCACATCTACTCTTCCTCCGAGCACTCTCCCTCTTCGGCAGGATCCAGTGGCAGGGGCCGAGTTCTGTAAGGAGCATTATTTCAGAAGAATTAGCAGAAACCAGCTCTGGTTTGAAAGGCTAACAGAGCCCTTTTCCCAAAGCCCATGTGACCCAAATGACCTAGGTTAGCCCCAGACAGCACCTTGGGGCATCAGGACTGACAGGGGCTACTTTATCTTGTGTTCTCTTCTCACCACCTTGTTTTTGCTTGGCCCAATAAACTCCAAATTAAAGGGATCAAAGTCTTCCTGTGCTACAGAAAACGTTTTCTGTTTCACCAACAGGTGGGATGCACTTAAAAGCCTTTGTCTGCTTGTCCTGCTGGACAGTTTGGGGCTGATTCTTATGGGCTCCCCCTGGCAGTTTGGGAATACCTATCTTTGCTGGGAAAATGGAGGTTCAACTCAGAATTCTTTATGGAAAACAGAGTGTCTGTAAGAAAATATTTTATACTGATGCCTTTTTAGTCAGTAGTGCAGCCTACAGGTTAATCTCTGAGGTTCCAGCTTGGAAAAGCGATTCAATTCCTGGCACATGGAAATTTTTAGTGCTCTCCTAAGCTTTTCCAAAACTTCACTGTGCTGGCAAAGTTACGCCTGAGCAGTAAGAACTTGCCTCAACTACCAGTTACTCCACCCATTTCAGGAACCTCGACAAGGTGGCTGAAAACTTTGCTGAGAAACATAATTTCCATGAGGATACACAGGTCAGGAGACACACACTGTCAACTTGCCAGCACTCCCTTGCCCCTTCAAAGATGAACTGGAGTTTCACAGAGAACAAGTGATCCCAACTTGCTTCCCCCTGCCCCAATACGCACTCCAGGCCGCTGGTCCCAGGCGTGTCTCCGTCGGGGGCTCGGCTCTCCTTGGACTGGAGCTTCAGGAAGTCGCTGATGCCCCTTTGCCAGGCGGGCACCGGCCGGACACAGACCCGGTTCAGCCCCACGGGGCGCCGGTCTCCTGCGGGGAGCGCCGGGTCAGCCTGCGGAGGGAGCGGGGGAAAGGAGGGGAAAGAGAGGAGAGGGAGGGAGGAAAAGAGAGGGAAAGAGAGGAGAGGGAGGGAGGAAAAGAGGGGGAAAAGAGAGGGATGAAACGAAGGAGGGAGAAAGGAGAGGAGGAGGAAGAAAGAGGGAGAGAGGGAGGGAAGAAAAGAAGAAGAAAGAGTGTAGTGAGGGAGAGAAGGGAAGGAGGGGAAAGGAGGGGAAAGGAGGGAAAAGGAGGGAAAAGGAGGGAAAAGGAGGGAAAAGGAGGGAAAAGGAGGGAAAAGGAGGGAAAAGGAGGGAAAAGGAGGGAAAAGGAGGGAANGGGAAAAGGAGGGAAAAGGAGGGAAAAGGAGGGAAAAGGAGGGAAAAGGAGGGAAAAGGAGGGAAAAGGAGGGAAAAGGAGGGAAAAGGAGGGAAGGAAGGAAAGAAAAGAAAGGAAGGAAGGAAAAGAAGAGGCGAGGGAAGGCAAAGAAGGGGAGGAAAAGAAGGGGAGGAAAAGAAGGGGAGGAAAAGAAGGGGAGGAAAAGAAGGGGAGGAAAAGAAGAGGCGAGGGAAGGGAGGGAGGGAGGAAAGGGGCCGGGCCGTGCTCACCTCTCCGGCCGGGCAGCGATGGCCCCGCGCTGGCGCTGCCGGAGCCGCTGCCGGAGCCCAGCGCCTTGCGGGGAGCGCGGCCGACCAACACTGCAAAGGGAAGCGAGGGGACAGCAGGGTCAGCAGCGCCCGGGACCCCCTCAGCCCGCCCCGGCCCCTCGCGGCCCCGCACCCTTGCGGAAGGCGCGCCCGCGCTGGTCCGCCTTGGTCCGCGCCATCCCGGCCCGGCCCCGCCCCGGCCGCGCCCGCCAGTGCAGCGCGGGGCCGCCCCCGCCCGCTGCCCTGCCCGCTCTCCTTCCCGCTGGATTCAGGGCAGAGATTCCCTGGGAGAGGAGAGAGGCGCTGGCACTGAGCGTCTGTGGTGCCCCATCTCTGTGTTCAAGGCTATGCTGAACGGGGCTTGGGACAGCCTGCTCTAGCGGGAGGTGTCGCTGCCCGTGGCGCGGGGCTGGAGCGGGCTGGGATTTACGGTCCCGGGCGTTCCCGGGCGGTCCCAAACCATTCCCGGGCTCCACAAACCGCTCCCGGAACGGTCGCTCCGCGGCCGCGTTCCCGGGGGAAGGGGAAGGAAGCGGAGGGTGCCGGGAGGTGCGGCGGCGTTTCCCGTCCCCCGCGGAAGATGGCGGCGCCCAGCGCGCTGCTGGCCTGGTGCGTCCAACACCTGCGCGGGGACTTCGGGCTGGACGTGGGCGAGGACGTGGTGAGGTGAGCGGGGCCGGGGCCGTGCGGGGCTCTCCTGCCCTCTGGCAGGGCCTCCTCGGTCCAGCACGGAGGAACACGGTGTGTCAGAGCAGCTGTCGGGCGTTTGCTCGGGGTTGTGGCTCAGGTGGAGATGTGGGGAGGGGAAATGGCGGGAGGGGGGATGTGGGGTGACAGAATACAGATTGTTCTTAGTTGGGAGGGATCTTAAAGGTCAAATCGTTCCGCCTCCTGCCATGGTCTTACCACGGTCTCCACAGAAACCTGATCCGAAAAGGGAAGATTAATGACACACCTGTGCGCTGAGACCTCGGAGCACCCGCCCCTCACCCATTTCTATCCACCCCGGCCCGCCGTAGGTACATCTTGTCCATCACGAACGAGGATGAGATCCGGGAGTACGTGGTTGACCTTGTTCAGGGCACCGAGGGGAAGAAGAGCTGGTTTGTGGAAGAGCTGCTGAGCAGGTGGAGGAAATCCGCCCAGCTGCCGTCCGAGCCCTTCCCCGCCTATCGGAAAAAGGACGGTGAGTGGTGCCGAGCTCTCAAATAAACTCGGTCATTGCCGTGACAAACAATTCCATGCCAGAATCCCTGTGTGGATCCCAATCCTGACTGTTGGGACAGTTCAAAGCCCATTTTCAGTCATGAAGTAGAGTCCAGGGATATCTTTTTTTCTGCTGGCATTAACCCAGCTCTCTCTGTGCTTGCTCACGCTCCCAGAGGCTTCGGAAGTGCTGCGGGGCGGAGACCAAGGGAAGAAGGGGAAGCGCAAAGGGCGGAACAAGCAGGAGACCCTGGCATACACCGAGCCCTGTGCTCACGGGGAGGAGGTGAAAACCCCACTGGACCTGGCCAAGGTGAGCGTGGGGGGCACGCCAGGGAGGCTGGGGGTCACTGGAAAGACTGGGAGCCTTGAGCCTGGGGAAAGAGGGTGTCAAACACTGGTAAAGATGTGATTGGAAAGTGGACATGAGTGTCTGGGACACGTCAGACTGGGATGCCCAGGTGGGCACTGCTCAGGCCACAACTCAAGTCCTGGTGTCAGTTTTGGGCCCCTCACAAGAAAGGCAGTGAGGGGCTGGAGCGTGTCCAGAGAAAGGAAAAGAGCTGGGGAAGGGTCTGGAGCACCAGGAGTGGCTGAGGGAGCTGGGGAGGCTCAGGAGGAACCTTCTGGCCCTGCACAACTCCTGACAGGAGAGGACAGCTGGGTGGGGGTTGTCATCTGCTCTCAGGAAACAGAGGACAAGATGAGAGAAAATGGCCTCAAGCTGTGCCAGGGGAGGTTTAGGCTGGATATTAGGGAAAAAAATTTAATGGAAACCATGGTCAGATACTAGAATGGACTGTCTAGGACAGTGATGGAGTCACCATCCCTGGAGGGATTCAAAAAACCTGTGGATGTGGCACTTGGGGAGGGAGGAAGGGAGAGAAGGGAAGGAGGAAGAGGGAGGGGGAGAGAGTAGAAAGGAGTTATTGATGGGTCTCTGATCTTGGAGGGCTTTTCCAACCTAACCATTTCCATATTTTTTTGATATCCAGGCTGAGGAGAAAGGTTGTGTCTGTTTGTGTCTATAACTGGGAATAAAATAATCATCAGGTAGCAAATATGCCAGCATGGATTTCTCCCCCAGAAAGCCTGAGAGGAGAGAGCAGGTGAAGGAAGTTGAGGATGTAATTAGGAATAAAAGGGGTTTCTTTAAATCAGATATGAGGATGGGGAATTTAAACCACCAAGTGGTTAGAACATCCTTTCCTACTGTATTTAAATTATCTCAGTCACACCAATTAAAGCTTTAATTAACAACTGAAATACTTAAGAAAGAAACTGTGGAATAAGAGCATAGAGACACTAAAACCTGAGAAATGCTGTAATTCCTGAGTAAGGAGTGGATCTTGAATTCATGTTTTTAAATTGAACTTTTTGGAGCAGGGAGGCTGCAAGAGCTGAAAGTATTTTAGAAGTGTTTACAGGATAAACCATAACATTTTTGAATTGGTGGGTTAAAAGTGGACAGTGATGTTCCATTTCTTTGTAGTTACCTTCTAACTTAATTAAAATTTAAAAAAAAAAAAAAACCAAAAAACAAATGGCCACAAAATGGACCACAGGTCATGGGGTCTCACACTTTTATGAGTTTTGGCCCATTTGCATATTGGAGTTAATTGTTCAATTACAGCTCCAGCCCATGAAGTCCCATCCTGCTTGTTTTCTCTCTTTAGCTCACGTTGTTTATGCTCTTGGGTTTGCACTGGCTGTCCGTGGTTCCTCAGCTAGAGCAGGAATTGTTTTGTCTGTCTATTCTGTGAAGAGAGCCTACTATCTCCTAATATGGAGCCCAGACCCCCACACTAAAGCAGAATAGAGTCTGAAAAATAGAAAAGCTAAAGCTGAGGCATCAGGAGTAGCTGAGCTGCTGTTTGGAGCTGTTAAACAGGCGTGAGGCTGTGCAGAGCCTGAAAGCAGCACTCGCTGCCCGAATCCCACCAGCTCCAGCTGGCATGGGTGGCAAACTTCGAGTGCATCCTGGTGTCCTTGCTTTGTTTGGATTTCTTGGAGCTTTTCTGGCAGGCCTGAGCTTGTCTTTCCACTCAGTCTGGGGTCTGGTCCAAGTTTCATTCCAGTGAGGCAGAATAACACTTGTCTGAGCCTCCTGGCCTGCCCAGGGGTCAGTGCTGGCTCTCTGCTGCCTTTTCTGCACTGGGAGCACAGTTTGTTTGTTTATTTTTTTTCCTTCCCAGGCCCAGGAGAGCAGCAGCGGAGTCAGCAGCAGTAGCATTTCCTCTAAGAAGAAGCCCAAATATGTCAGCCTGTACACAAGGGAGGGGCAGGACAGGCTGGCCGTGCTCATCCCGGGCCGCCACGCCTGCGAGTGCCTGGGCCAGAAGCACAAACTCATCAACAACTGCCTGGAGTGCGGGCGCATTGTCTGTGAGCAGGAGGGCTCCGGGCCCTGCCTGTTCTGTGGGGCCCTGGTGAGTAACCAGGGAGTTACTGCAACTTACTGGGCGAGGGGCTGGAGAGGGGCTGGGAACACAAACCCTGTGAGGAACGACTGAGGCAGCTGCGGGTGCTCAGCCTGGAAAAAAGGAGACTCAGAGGTGACCTTATCACTCTGTACAGCTCCCTGAAAGGTGGCTGTAGTCCGGTGGGGTTGGTCTCTCTCTCCAGGAACTGACAGAACTAGAGGACACAGCCTTAAGCTGCACCAAGGGAAATATAGGCTGGATATTAGGAAAAAGTTTTTCATGGAAAGAGTGGTGAAATTCTGGAATGGCCTGCCCAGGGAGGTGGTGGAGTCACCATCTCTGGATGTGTTTAACAAAAGACTGGATATGGCACTTGATGCCATGGTTTATTTGAGGTGTTTATTTGAGGGCATGGGTTAGACTCAATTATCTTTAAAGTCTTTTCCAACCCAGTGATTCTGTGAATTCTGTGAATTCTTTGCTCTGCTTGGACCTGGAAAAGTTGGCTGAATTAGCCCTTCAGGAAAGAACCCGTTAGGAGGTTTCTCCCATAATTTACATGGCTTTGGAGCTTGTCTGGTTTCTGACAGTCTCCTGTGTGTCACTGCAGTGTCCAAAATCTCTGCAAGACTTCAGCCCCTGGTCATCTTGTCAGGAGCAGCGTCCTCCTTTTCCTTCAACACTTGCACACCTTTGGGATACCTGTTAACACTGAGATTCAGTTCAAAGGACACCCTTTGGAGAAAGGGGACAAGTTATTGATGGCAGAGGAGATTTTTCTTCATGTGAGAGGAAACTGTTAGTTGGGTAGAGCAAAATGTTTTAAAGTAGATTGGTTGCTATTTTGAAAAATCAGTTTAACTCCCAGTGGCCAAGAAGGGAGAGAAAAACTGTTAAGGATTGTGGTTCTGCCTGGGATGATTCTGAGCTCATCTCTTGTCCTTTGAGCTCAGTCAGCAACATGTCCACCCACAGAACAGGGAGAGACCAAACTCTACATTTCTTTTAGTAAAGAACAAGCTTCCAGGGTTCTCCCCACGTCAGTGGGGAAGAGAAGGAGGTGTGGATTGTCACTACCACTTTAAACAGCCTGAACTATTGTCCAGGGCTCTGAAACTGGTCAAGCTGTGACATCCTTCACATGTGATGTCCTTCCCAAGCCTTCATTTCCTTCTTTTTCTCAGGTGTGCACGAAAGAAGAACAGGACATTCTTCAGCGGGACTCCAACAAGAGCCAGAAGCTGCTGAAGAAGCTCATGGCAGGTCAGTAGGTATTGCATACCTGGAATAGAATGAATCCAAATGGTTTGTGTGCATTATTTCCTTCAGACTTCACTGATCCACTTGCCCTCATTGCTGCCCTTTGTCTGGCATTAAAAGGGTGGATTGGGAGTTGGCTCCTTGGTTCCTCCTGCAAGCCCTAGGCAGCATTCCCAGGCTTCAGCTGAGGTGGCAGTGGCAAGTGTCAAATGGCAGCGTGTAGTGTCCTTTCCCTGAGGCCCTAGGGCTGCTCATTTGGCATTCCAGAATCTCATGAACTGGATTGTTGTAGCAGTCCTTGAAAATTAGGATAAGTCTCCTGTGGAATGTGTGCTGTGGAAGATAAAGTGCTCCTGTCTGATTTGCTGGGCTTAGAGAGGTGGTGGTTAATATTTTCTAATGGCTCTTCTTGTCTCACACTTACCTTGGGAGCTAGAAATAGGAACAGAGCCAAGGAAAGCAAGAGGAAATGCTACCCAGTATCCCAGTGAAGACCTGTACATTGTGGGGATGTTTGTCTGAATTTAGCTGAACTACAGCCAAGGTCGTGGTGTTCTTGGTTGGAAAATACACTTTGCTGAGGAACTGGGGAAATATTTACTCCAGATCTGGTTTCTCCTTAAAGCTGTGGAGATGGTGGGAGGATGGAAGTCCTTGAGAGCACCAGCCAATCTGTTCTATCCTTCCAATACAGATGTTATCTCTTTCCCTCCTGCCCCTGCCAGCTCTTGTTTTGTTATCTGTGTAGGTAAAAGCTGGAATGTGGTTTGCTGTTTATTTTGGGAGCAAAAATTGTGGATCAGCAACTAAAGGGAAATGCAGACAATTATTTTCCTGAAATGAAGGCATTTCCCAGTGTGGTGAAATGCACTGCTTTGTTCCATCATGGCCTGGGTTCAAAATCTTTTTTGTGGCATTTTATGGTTGTTCCCTGTTGGTTGGGTGGGTTTGGGCCCCTTGCCAGGAGGGGTAAGAAGGAAGAGCATTTGCTGGGAATAGATTTCTCCACCTCTGGAAATAGCTGGTTTGGGAGTCTGATGTGGTGTGTCAGAACAGGATATTGTTTGTGGGAGACACAAACAGCAGTAGAAGGCTCTGGAATCTGTCCTGGGCAAGAGGCTCTTTGTGGGGATAACAACATATGGGAAGGGTTTGGCTTTTAGGAGGGATCTCCTAAAAAGCTGGGGTTGTTACTGAAGAAGAAAAGTCTCCAGACCTTAGAGCTGCTCCCAGTGCTTAGAGGACTTATGAAAAGGAGGGAGAGGGACTACTTAAATGGCAGATAGTGATAGTACAAGAAGGAATGGTTTTAAAACTAAAAGACAAGAAATTTAGATTGGATTTTGGAAAATAAATCCTACTTCATGAGGGTGGTGAGGCTCTGGCACAGGTTTTCCAAAGAAGCTGTGGCTGTCCTATCTCTGCAAGTGTTCCCGGACAGGTTGGATGGGGCTTGGAGCACCCTGGGATAGTGGAAAGTGTCCTTGGTGTTCCACCATGGCAAAGAGTGGAAGGAGATGAGCTTTAAGGTCCTTTTCAACCCAAACCATTCCATGATTCTATGGCCTGAGACCTGTGGTTGGTGATGGGAGGAATTTTGACTACCCAAATTGTTAGGGAAGGGTGAAGGAAAACCAAAGGCCAGGAGCTTCTCCTTAAGCTCTACCCAGACTTTATCACTGTGATATTTAAGTGATTCCTCCTCTTTCGAGGAAGGAGTCTTTGAAATGGACTTGAGGGAAAATTGTGGCTTCAACCTCCCCGGAAAGATGCTGATCTTGCTGCAAAGCTTTACTTTTAGCTCCTGGCACGGCATTTAGTTTAGGGGGCGTTTCTGCAGCCTGGCCTGCCCAAATGGCTTTAACATACTGAATGCTGAGCTGTGGTTTGTTTTGTGTCTCAGGTGTTGAAAGTTCAGGGAATTTGGATGCCATAAGCAAAGGCTTGCTGCCCCAGCAGGAAGCAAGACTCAAATCAGGCCTGGAGATGGCTGTGAAGCACAAAGACAAGCTGTTGGAATTTGACAGGACAAGGTAAGATACTAAGTGGGAGACTGTCATGAATAGCATAAATGATGTGGCAGATGAGGTGCCTTCAGCAGAAATGTTGGGAATTCTTTCTAAAACCCAGACTGCAGCCACTGACACCTTAACTATGGCATTTGGTGGGACAGGAGTGAGTCTCTGGAATGGATCCCTTTTGGGTGCCCTTGCTTTTTGTCCCTGACAGTCCAGCTCCCCAGAGAGACGGGAAAGAGCAGGTTGGAGGGTGGGTTTGAGGCTCTGCTGTGGTCTCACTGTGCTCATCTTCTTTCCCAGCGTGCGTCGGACCCAGGTCATTGATGATGAGTCGGATTACTTTGCCACGGACTCCAACCAGTGGCTCTCCAAGCAGGAGAGGGAGGCGCTCCAGAAGAGGGAGCAGGAGCTGCGGGAGCTGCGCCACGCCTCTCGGCTGGCCAAGAAAATCACCATCGACTTCGCTGGCAGGCAGATCTTGGAGGAAGACAACAACATGGCTGAGTACCACAGCAAGTGAGTGAGGGCTGGCAGCGTGCCCGAGAACAAGGAGGTGCAAATCCTTATGGAGAGTGGTCTGACATGCCTGTTAAAGCTGCCTGGGAAAGAGGTGTTTCAGAAGGCCTGTCTCAACAGAACCACTTCAGCTCAAAGTCTCACCAAGCTGAGTTTCTGCACTAGAGAGCAGTGACTGCTCAAACAAAGTCATTTAGGTGGGGGGAATGGGGCAAAAATACTTTGAGTCAGAGTGTGTGGGGAGAAGGGAGGTGTTCCCAGGGGAAGCAGGGAATGTTCATCCCTCTCATTTGTGCTTGCAGACTAGATGAGACCATTGCAGCCATGAGCTGTGGTGCACTGAGCGAGCCAGCCGGGAGCCCTGGGGCAGAGATGACACCAAACTCTGGGGTTTTGGTGAATCCCCGTCTCCTCCAGCCTGCTCCTTTGGTCAGTGCGGCTTCCATGGTTTATTCCAGAGTAGTGACTCATTTTGGGGAGTTGAGCTTGAGAATTGTCAATTGCAGCACATCTATAGAAGGGGATCTTTTGGGGAAAAGATCACAGGATGGTTTGAGTTGAAAGGGACTTTAAAGATAGTCTCATTCCATCTCCTGCTATGGACAGGGACACCTTTCACCAGACCAGGTTGCCCTGTCCAACCTGGCCAAGAACACTTTCTGAGATGGGGTGACTTCTCTAGACAACCTGTTTCAGCATCTCAGAGCTCTCACAGTAAAGAATTTCTCCTTAATATCCAATTGACTCTATCCTCTGCCAGTGGGAAGCCATTCCCCCCGTTTCCCTTGTTTCTCACCCCCTCTTTCCTTCCCTGTGTCCCTCACTGGCTATCTCAGTTTGGGATAGAGAAGGTTTGACAATGCCCTGTTCCTGGTGGGTTGGTTTACTGGAGTTTTAGCATCCTACCTCCTTTTCAGGCATGCAGAAGAGTTTCTGAGAGTCAGCCTAAGCTTTCACCTCTATTTTTTGAGGTCTTTTCTGCCAGATTCCCATTTTCCAAAGAGCATAAGGGTAATGAAGGAAAACTTCAGATAGGATTTGCATTGATTTGCACACATTACTCCTGGAGAGGTGCTAACCTTTTTCCTGTTTCTTTTGAACACTTTCAAGTGGGTGGACCAAACTGGTTCGCTCCCACAAAGGAAAATTATTCATTCCACGGAGGCTGGAAGTGAGTCTGGCTCGGAGCGGAACCGGCTGCGGATTCAGGACCGAGAGCTGCAGGAGATCTCGGATGATGGTTGGTGCCTCAGCCTGCACCAACCTTGGGCTTCTTTGCTCGTGAGAGGAATCAAAAGGTGAAGGTATCCCAGGCAGCTCCTGCTCCACAGGGGAGGTGGGAAGTTGTGTTCCTCAAAGGATCTCTGTGGAGCCATGGGCCCTGTGCATTGACTGATACCTGTGATAGCTCCAGGTGTGGAAGCTGTGCTCCCTCGTCCCATGGGTTGATGGGTTGAGGAGCTGGAGAATAATTTTTTTTGGGGGGGTAGTACTCAACCTGTAAGGGACAAGTTTCTTCACAGTGTGTGAGTGTTGTTATTGGACACAAAATGAGTATGCAGAAGCTTGGTAAGTTCAAAAGAGAAAAAGAGTTAATTTTATTTCTGACTTCGTAATATATAGAGTTCTAAAGTGACAGTGGATTGGAGGATGAAATTGTCACCTCTTTAACCACACTGGTCAAACCAACAGTCCATCAATTCTCTCCTCCCACAAAGAAGAATGTAGAACAATCATTATTTACATGAACAGTGTGTGAGAACTCTAGTACACATATGTAAACATCAGAAGGCATAGAAAACTTCTAAAAGAACTTTAAAACTTTTAAAAGAACTATGAAAGAAAACACTTTTAAAAATCAGGATAACAGGTGAGTGGAGAGAGAGGCTGAGATTTCACTGCTACAGTTGGGGCGTTCCTGTGTGGAATTTGAAAAGCAAATAAGGTAATCACTTGAAATATGTTCTTCTGGGTTTTTGTTCAGCATAAAGGAGGCAACAGTGGCACCAGGCTTTGTTTAAAAGAAACCCAACCCTTGCCACTACCTTTCCCGCTCCAGGCTGGGAATTGGGTTACAAAAAGGAGCTGGTACTATTAATAACGAACAAAGAATCTTCTTTAGCCTTTTTTTCCCTTCACCACATTTCTCATTTTGGAGGCCAAAGCTTTTTCACTTCCCAAACTAAGGCTGCTTTAATTCTTAATGTGCCAGGATTTTTCATCTAAGTGTTTTGGGGATGCTCCAGCCACTCTGGTACAGCTGCAGAATTCCAGGATCTCCAGACAACTGTTCCATGCAGAGACCTGCTCCCTTATTTCTCCCTTGATTGTTCTGTGTGACTTTGGGAGCTTGTAAGGGACTTCTGTGGGCAGATTGTCCTGTCTGTGTTCTGCTGGTCCTGCTGGGGATTGATGTCCTCCTAAGCCCTGAGGACATGCTGTGCTTTATTTGTGACATTATTTTTTGCCTATGTCGGCTTTTCTTTGTGGTCCTGACACATTGGTTGAGTTGGGATAACCAGGACAAAGCTTAGCAGCAGGAATTGACTGTGTTTGAATGAAAATGTGGGTGATTTCTGCTGAAGTTTTAGTGCTACATTTTCCTCTGTTCTTTAGAGTGGAGGGCAGGACCTGGTACACATCTCATCGAGGGAGGTTATGGATTGCAGCTACTGCTAAAAGACCTTCCCCTCAGGAAATCTCAGAACTGGAAGCCACCTACAGAATGCTGTTCCGGAAAGGTGAACTCTTTTCCTTGGTTCTTGGAGTGATTTGGTACATGGAGCCATGTAATGAGCAATGCCAGAAATCTCTCTTTGCTGAGTAGGGAATGCTATGTATAAAATTAGATTTCCCAGCCCTAGTCCTTCATGAGGAAGATCCTGACCTGGAAAAGGCATAAAAAAAGTGTTAAAATTGCTGTATGTGATTTTTGTGTCTCAAAAAGTAGAGGTGCCCGGAGGAGAGAGGGAAGGGCACTTGGGGATTGGAAGACCACACCTGTGTGTGGGAATATGGGCTCCCTGAAGACATGTTTCTTTTGCTGCAGATGTGGAATTTCCAAGTGATTATCCCTCAGGATGCCTCCTGGGCTGTGTGGATGTGACTGATTGTTTATCACAAGAGCAATTTCAGGAGCAGGTGAGTACAGAGTACAGAAATGAACCTTTCCACGCTTGCATTAACCAGCAGGTTTTTAAAGGTGGAACTTGCCTCTGGAGAAGACATTGAGTAGAAATTTTAGATTGTGTTGAGAAGACACAAGTTACTGCAGGGATTTATGTGGCAGGGGACATGAGGGAGCCTGGCAATTCAGGACAGCATGGAAACATGGACATCTCTGCCCCAGTGGTGGTGCTGTGCCTTGGGAACCTTGTCCAGTGGTGCCAGTGGCACTGACTGCCCTGGTATAGGAGAGGGTGGCTTGGCCTATGCAGAGGGATCATGGTCCAGAGCTGCTGGATCTGCCTGGTGCTTCTTACAGGAGCTGGAGGTCACAGTGGCCTCACTGGTGATGTCACACAGGCCTAACTGGTGAGTGTTGTGCCCTGTTTGGGGCACTGAGTGACCTGGAGACGGAGCCATGGAAAGGTGAGCTCTTTCCCAGCAGGGAGGATGGACAGGAGAGCCACAGGACTACCTATAGTGAAGCAAGGCTGGAATCAGTAGTCTTTTAAGAAATCTCAACCCATAAAAGTTAATGGGTGATGATGATGTGTGTCCAGATTTGCTGAGAGCATTGGCAGGTGGCCTCGTGAGGCCACTCTTAGCTTGGGATGGTTATGGAAACCAGGAGAGGACTCTTTGTAACTGTTGCACCCGTGGTTAGAAAGGGAAGGAAGGAGATCTGGACACTTCAGGCCAGTCAGCTTCACCTTGGTCTCTGGGAACTACGTAGAGAGATTGCTTTTTGGGCAGTTTTGGGCACGTGGAGGAAGAGGATATGAGGAATAGCAAGTGTGGACTCACCTAAGAATAAACTCATGCTTTACTAACCTGATTACCTTTTTGGATCCAATAGGTAGAGTGGAGAGTATCTATTAGCCTGCTGTCCTGGAGTAGGCATGAATCCCAGAGGAGTCGTAACCAGTAGAAACCAGTAACTCTATGCATTGGTTAAACCACATCTAGAATACTTGGGTCACCGTGAAATTATTGGTAAATTGGAGCAAATCCCATGGAGACCACCAGGGAAGTTAGGGGCTGGGGCTCTGTGAGGAGAGGCAGGAGACACAGAGATCTTCCACTTCCTGCAAGGAGATTGCTGGGAGACAGAGCCAGGCTCTGTGCTGACCTACATGGCAGGAGGGTCGTAAATTGAAAGGGGAGGGTTCAGTGTGGCTTAAGGAAACTAATTACCATAAGGATGGCCCAGCAGTGGGGCACGCATTGCCCAAGGGGTTGAGCAGTCTTCACCTGGGAAAATTTTCAAGACCCAAGAGGACAAAGCCGTGGGCAGCTTCACCTGAATTCAGTGTTGGCCCTACTTTGGGTGGGAGGTTGGACTAGAGACCTTCTGAGACCCGAGTCTGATGCTGTGACCGATTCCATGCTCCCAAAATCCAGAGCAGGAGCTTTCCTAGGGACTTACAAAACCTGCACTTAGCACCAAGCACAGCATGGCTACTCCTAATCCCATTTCATCCCTGTTCACTCCACTGCCCCTTGTGCATGTCAGGTTTGAATCACCAAACATTTGTAGGGCTTGGTAGTGAACCACGACCATCTTGTGATGGAATAGATGTTTTCCTTGGGAAGGAATCCACCAGGATGGTCTTGCTGTGAAAAACTGGAGAGGCAGCAGGAGATGGGGCTGTTTTTCAGGAAGTGCTCCTCTGGCTTTCCCAAACCCTGTGAAGTTTTTACCTGGGAGAGATGCCTGGAAAGACAGGGATGAGGTTGTGTCTCTTAATCACAGGAGGAAGGCAGAGAAGTTAGAGTATGAGCAGCAGAGGGAGCTTTGGGACTGGAATACCATGAAACCTACAGGAATATTTGGCTTTGTATGGGAACAAGCCTTGGGAGAGAGAGAGGAAGGGGCACCGAGGTCATTGTAGGGATTTTCTTTTGTAGCATCCACTAATTTGCAGATTGGGCTTCAGTGCAGGTTCCTGTCCATCTGCTGCTGTTTGTAGCAGTGGTGGAAAACTAGATCTTGGTCTCTTACAAGTACTTTTCTGTTTGTCACAATCCCTCCTCTTCCTTTGTGGATGTATTGTTCAGGCATTGGTAGAATGGCTGTGGCAGCATCTCTGATCTGGGAATTGTGCTGTAGGTAACTAGCATGAATCTTCCCATGGAGGACCTACACAATTAACCACATTATCTGGAAATCCCTCCCAGTTTGTGGGCACTGCTTGGCTGCAGAGGGACTGGAGGCAGAGCAGGAGCATTCCTGTATATTCCTGTATTCCAGGAGCACCATTATCCAACCTGTTAGTGACAGATTTCCCTTTCTCCTCAATGCAGTGGCATTTCCTGGGTTGCATTTCTCTGGCTTTTTGCTGCTCCTGTATTGCAAACTACTGATAATCCTTAATTTTCTGCCTTTCTATGGTGATTTTGGCTGTTTTTCCCGGGATTCCTTTAAGCAGCAGTAATTTCCCTCGCTTGTGGGCTAAAATCCAGAGATGTGGGCCTTTCTGCTGTTGCTTTCTGAGGAAATGTCTGGTTTTTGGGCTTTCAGGAGCAGCAAGTGCATCTGAAGGAAGCTGAACTGAATTTAATTGCAATTGTCAGCAATATGACAAAGTGTGCAGCACCAGTTCAGAAATCTGAGTTGGGTCTCGCCAGGAGTAAGAAATTCCTGTTGCTCACGTGGGTGTTTCAGCCTGGGTTCATCAGCAGGGTCAGCACTGTGATCCAGCCATTTCCCAGTGTGCAAAGGTTCCTTGTAGCTCTGGGAGAAAGGCAAGGAACATGATGCTTTTTCAGCACTTAGGGCGTGCAGAAACATTGGGTATTTTCAGGGAATGTGTGAGCAGGCAAGGGGAGGTGATGCAGAGCAGAGACCTCTCGGGGATTGAGCTCTCGTGGAGCTTTTCCAGGCGCTGTGCTTTGACTCACACCTCTCCTCCTCACCACCTCCTGTTTGAGGCTCCTGCATGTTCCAGAAGAAATCATTTCACAAGTGCAGGGCGAGCCTCGCTTGCAGGTTATACCAACCTCTCGAGGATGAAATAGTTCCTGGCTTGCTCTTGGTGTTTTGATGGTGATCCAGTGTTTCTTGGCAGCCACAGAAGTTTGGTTTGACTCTTGTGACTATTTGTTCCCATAGGCAAGGGAGATTCTTCCTGGTCTTAGGTCTGTTTTTCTTTGCCCTGGGGGTATTCACCTGGAGAAGAGAAGGCTCCCAGGAGGCCTTAGAGTCCCCTCCAGTGCCTAAAGAAGCTCCAGGAGAGCTGGAGAGCAACTGGGGACAAGGAGTGCCAAGGCATGGGGAGATGGCTTCCCATTGCCAGAGGGCAGGGTTAAATGGGATATTGGGAAAGAATTTCTAGCTGTGAGGGTGGGGAGGCCCTGGCACAAGTTTCCCAGAGCAGCTGTGGCTGCCCCATCCCTGGAAGTGTCCAAGGCCAGGTTGGGTGGGGCTTGGAGCAACCTGGGACAGTGGAGGGTGTCCCTACCCATAGCAGGGGGTGAGAAGAGATGAGCTGTAAGGTCTTTTCCAGCTTAACCCAGTCTGTGATTCCATGGTGGTGTGGTCTGTCCACACTGTGACTCTCCCATTACCTCTCAGCCCTTTCACTTGTGTCACCCACTCCCTGTTTAGCACTGTCTGCAGATTTAACTTCTCTGCTGTTTGTATCCTCTCTCGAGTTGCTAATGAAGATGTTGTGGCACCCCACTGGTATTTTTCTATCATTATCCTCATTTATTTTTTTTTACACTTGTGCTCAAAAAACCAAAATTAAACAACACTGCCCCAGCAGAGTCAGACCCATTCTTTGCCAGAGCTCTTGCGTTATGACCAGGGAGGGGTTATTTAACCACATTTTTACTGCACATGTAAGCCTGGCCTTTCATCACCACTGAGCGGGGGCGGTCCCTACCTTCCTCTGCCCTACCTGCAGCATTTGAGGCCCGACTGACGTTGTTGAGATGGTTTGCAGATCCTGAGGATGTGTGGGAAGTGATGATGGAACATGATCTGTACTGCTGGAGCTGGCAGGGAGCAGAGGAAGAGTAGAGATGTCCTTGGGATTAGGATCAGTGGCACGTCAGGTACCCTAATCCCAATTATGCTGCCTATTGCATGAACTAGTAAAATCTGCTCCTCTGGGTCTCTTTTCCTTATGAAAAATAAAGCAATTCTTTCAGTCAGAGGTTATTTACACCACATTTTGCTGCTCAGGGCTCTGATCTTTGGCTTGAAGCTGCTCTGGCAGCAGAAGTTGTGTTCAGGTAGGAGGGTCCAGCCCAGGTGTCCAGTGTCACTTGCTCTGTTTGCAGGGAACTGCAGCAGGAGCTGCAGCCTGAACTCAGCCCTGCTTGCCTGGTTCCTGGAGATCCCTCTGAAATCTCAGGATTTCCAGTTGAGCTTTGCACATCTTGCCCCTCCTCAGAGTACATTCTGGGCTCATTTCCTTCTCTTCCTGGCAGCAACCCAAAAATCCCTGCTCGAGACCAGAATGATTCCTTTGTTATGCTTTTCAGCTAGAGGTGACCTGGAAACTTTTTTCCCCCTTGGAGATCCAAGCCTTCATTACAGCTTTTCCTTGCTCTGGGGCTGACGTCACTGACACCTTGAGGAGAGCAAGGAGCTGCCCTTGTTTTCCTGCACGAGGTGTCAGTGACTTCAGCAGTGCCCACTTGGGATCTGTGGGATGGGGCAGGCAAGGCTTGGCACAGGACTAAAGCCAGCAGGGAAGTGTTTACATTGATGCCATTTCCATGTGCTCTGTAGTCCATGTTCATTTTGCTAATGACTTTGATCTGAGAGACTCTTTAACTGGAAAAAGAGTGTTTCCTGCTGCTGTTTTGGTGGTTGATAGGTGTGTTTGGCTTTTTTTGAGTGCAGACACACGCCGATACCTGGATGGAGCTATTATACCAGGCTGAAATATTGGCTAATTATGTTTGATGGGAGTTAAGTGTTTATTTTTCATTTCTAGGTGATCACTTAGTGTCCTAAATCTGCT